AATTGGGGAAATTTAAGTGCTTATAATATGATATTGATAATTATATTAAATTTCTAATGAAGATTAAGTAATTTGTTTGACAGTTTCTTGTTTTTGGTTAATCTTGTTTTGGTTGATTATATTTTTATATATTTTTTGTGTAAAAGAGGAAAATACAATTTTTGGGGGAAATTCTGTTGAATTTTTAAAAAATTTATAATGAATCATGGAAATTTAAGTACTTATAATATAATATTGATAATTATATTAAGTTTCTAATGAAAGTTAAGTAATTTGTTTGATAGTTTCTTGTTTTGGTTAATTTTGTTTTCGTTGATTGTATTTTTATATAGATTTTGTGTACAAGGGGAAACTACAAAATTTAAGAGAAATTCTGTCGAATGTTTTTTAAATTTATAATGAATCATGGAAATTTAAGTACTTATAATATAGTATTGATAATTATATTATGTCTCTAATGAAGATTAAGTAATTTGTTTGACAGTTTTTTTGTTTTTGGTTAATCTTGTTTTGATTGATTGCATTTTTATATATATTTTGTGTACATGAGGAAAATACAATTTTTAAGTGAAATTCTGTCGATTTTTTTAAAAATTTATAATGAATCATGAAAATTTAAGAACTTATAATATGATATTAATAGTTATATTAAGTCTCTAATGAAGATTAAGTAATTTGTCTGACAGTTTCTTATTTTGGTTAATTTAGTTACAATTGCGTAGCTTGTTTTCTTTCATATTTATTCATATTAAAAAATAAATTCAAAATAAGGGTATCATATTAATTGACTAGTTGGAATAACTTGAAATGTTCTCTATTTATCTAAGTGGAATCCGATTGCATTTTAATTTTATTCAATATCATAATTGTAAATATATATTGGTAAATGTAATTTTATACATTGTCCAATATTGGGAAAATACAGTTTTTAGGAGAAACTCTGCCAAAATTTTTTAAAATTTATAATGAATTGTGAAATTTTAACTAATTTTATTATGATATTTATAATTATATTGAATATTATAGTTGCAAATATATAGTTGAGTATATAATATTTTAAAACTTTATTAAATGATATAGTATATTATATGATATGTTGTAGGAAAGATTAATTGCAGAGGCCATTAAGAAATATGGAGAGGATACAACTACATGGCCAACAACAGTTGACGCCCAGCTTGTGATACCCCAAAAATTTCTAGAATAAATAAGTGTGAGTTAGGGACTAACTTGTGAGAAAATATTGTTTGGGCTTAATAGCCAAAATTTCCAAACTTGAGGGACTTAAAAAAGGGAAATTTTGGATAAGGATCAGCTATTTCTTTTCTCCTTTTCCTCTTTTTCTCCAGCCCGATTCTGCTCTTCTTCTTCTTCTCCCTGCACCAAACAAGAAGACCCAAGCCGATCCACACCTCCCCTTGGAAGAAACCGGTAAAGCTTGATGATTTTTGCCTTCTTTTCTTGTTCAAGAACAAGATTTAAGCTTGGAAACTTCCCCCCCCCCTATGCAGAATCCCGGATCTGCTCTGCTCCTTCCTTCTTCACCGCCGGCTGCTCTTGATTGTGGGTGATTTCTGGGCATTTTTTTCGGTAAGAGCAGCCATGATTCCATCTCTTTAGCTTTGAATTGCCTTGGGTTTACCTTAATTGCTCTTGTTCCTCCAATTTTGGTAGCCCCGTGAGAGTCCCCTGTAGATTGCCGCCGGATTCTTCTCCCCCACAGCTCCGGTTTCTGCAGTTGGAAAATTCTGGTATGTTGACAGCCCTCCAAGCCCCGAATTTGTCCATTTATTTGCTGCCTTGTGTGTCCAAAAATCTGCAGAAAATGGGGATGAATTTCGGTAGCTTAAGTTATGTTTTAAGCTTGGTTTAGGTAGAGAAATTAGCTTGATTATGGCTGCTATGATTTTTGGAGAAAAACCCGTGATTAGCTAGTGTTTGGCCAATTTTTGGAAGTGCAGTTACTGTTCACGTCGTGGTTACTGTTCACGGATACTGTTTATGATACTGTTCACATATTACTATTCATGCACTAATGGCCAACAATTAACGGGGATTTAAATGATTAGTTTGTGATATAAGAACGAATTTGGAGATATTTGATAATTTGGAGACTGATAGAAATAGCATCGTGATTATGGGTAGTTCTAATGACGATTTCACTTGAATTTGTGATAGTATAGAATTAATTCTTGGATATTTTGATTAGGTTCCCGATCGTTCTGTCAATTAGCACTGAGATCGAGTCTTCAGTTTTGTGCGAGTGAGGTAAGTAAATTTATGGTAATGCCCGTATAGTTTTTAAAAGCATGTTTTGATTTATTTTTGAAGTGGTGGCGAGACTAAACCCGTTTTATGCAAAAGTAGGTATGATTGATTTGAAATAAATTTTTATGCTTTTCATTGAATTGAGCATGCCTACTTGAAATTTAATTGATTGTCCTGATGATTTGAAAATGATTGGTGAATTATGATTTTTCTATTAACTTCTACCTGTTTTGTCTCCGATGTGGTTATGTTATTAATGATCCTGTTAGTGGGGGTTAAATGCTAGCACATGTCGACATGTTACTGATAGAACCGGTTTGTTTCTGTTACCTTGCTAGTGGGGATTATACACCAGCAAATACTGTAGCCTGCCAATGGGAGGTTTATAACACTAGCCGTGACCTATAGAGGAGACATCTATTTCGTTCCCACACTGTAATCGTTTTTTGTGATTATACTTGTTGGCATGCTATACGTTTAATTAAGGGCAATCCATATTTTACTTACTGAGTTTATCTCATAGTTTTCCTTGTCCACCATTTCAGGAAGCGAAACCAAGGGCGAGGAAACCACGGGAAGTGACGAGTTAGAAGGCTAGCCATCTTGTAAATTGAGCATAGATTTAGAAAAATCATGATCTTGTAAACTAGACCTTATTTGGAGATTTTATGATATCAGAGAGATTTTAAGAATTTGATCTTCAGATTTTGATGGTATCAGATTGTGGTATGATAAGTTCCGAGCCTTATGCATTTGTGGGACCTTCTCATGAGTGCACGATGTTTGTTGCATCTTCGGATTTGAGTTTTGGGGCGTGACAGATTTTGTGGTATCAGAGCTTAGGTTGAAATTAAGAGCTTTGGATTAAATTAAGCACCTTTAGATTGAGTGGCATCAGAGCAGATTGAGTGGTATCGGAGCTTAGATTTAATTAAATACTTAGGTTTAATTGAATACCTAGGATTTGTTTAGAACTTGGCTGGCCAATGAGTTTTAGAACCGTGGTGAGATGAGTGATGGGGTTATACAAGGGACAATTTTGATTTATGTTGCTTGAATTTTTGATTCACTCTGATGAGATGTCAATTGGATTGTTCTTGTTTCCTACCTTCATACTCTGTGTGAAGTTGTGAAAGTAATCTTGCTCGTTATGTTCTTAAGACCTTGTTTTGAAACTTGGTCATTTTCTGATAGTCTGCATTTATTTAGACTTGTTACTTGAATAGAAATTTTGTATGTTTCTTTTGCCACCATTGTAAAATCTGGGGAGTTGTAGAGATCTTTTGTTATTGATCCTGTTGATCTCTATAGCATAGCTAGTTGAGAAATTTGTTCTGTTTGTCACATGACCAGTGGAAGATGGGCAACTCTCTACTTTGTAAGAGATTCAAGATCATTTAGCAAATGTTGTGTGTTTTCTAGATGCATTTTAGGAGCTGGATAACTTGATAATTTCGCTGCTCATTTATCTTTTTGAAAGTCTTATAGCGAAGTTCACTTTTTCCATTTGGAGCTTCGTGGTCTTTTCATGTGGCTCATTTTCCTATATTGGTTAATCAAAAACAGTGATCATTCCATTGAAATTGTCATGTTTTTGTGAAGATTGGCAAGTTGTCATAAAGTTAAACTCTCTATTATTGCTAATCTTTACATTCTTGATACCTGGAAACTGCTTGAAACTCTTGAAATCCATCTTGAATCTTTCTTGAGATTGCTTTGAACTTGTTCTTGAAACTGAAATCCAAAAATGGATAATGATTATTGAAATCCTCAATATCTTGATACTTGTGCGAAATTAATTCTTGCACTATTCTTGGAATCTTATCTTGAACCTTGCATGGAGTAAAGTCATGTTAGCATCTTTTTTGAAAATCAATTGATATTTGGTTTTGAAATCTATTTTGAATTGTCTTTGAAAACCATTCTTGTCTTGATCCTTGCTCTTGTTCAAATTCTGTATACTGATGTTGCTCAAATTCTGCATATTCTGCTAGTTCTTGTTTTAGTATACCTGTTGATTTTCTGGATTTTTTATTTTGTTTATATGGACACCTCTTTAGGAGGGGTGATGATATTTAGAAAATACCTATACGAGGCATCCTAAATTCTTGTCTCTTACAAGTGTTAATCTCTGTATTCTTGATGCCTCAGCTTTGACTTGACTCCAGGATGTCTAGGATGACTTGATTGTAAATCTGTTTAGCCTCCATGGGCTACGAGGTGAAGGGGTAGTCTTTGAAGTACCGAATGCCCTAGAGTTTTGTTCCAAGAGAAATGGTTCTTTTATCTGGCTGCTTTGATTTTTGTTTGGCCTTTTAACTAGAAGACATGAATCTTCTAAGCATCTTGATCCAGCCATTGCTTTGTTCTGTTAATTAATTCGTGTTACTTGGGGTGCTAGATCTTGACATCCTAGTTATATCTGCTCTCGAATTCGTGTTCTGATTGTCATTATTGAAATCTCTTTTGTGAGCCTAATTTTTGGAATTTTATTGTGTGTTTCATGGTTAACTCTTGTCTCTCAATTCTGACTGCTTGGTTAAATTCGATCTTGATTCTTGGTGAATGCCGTTTTGTTGTTGAATTTTTGAGGCATCGTACCTTACACTCTTATGTTCCAGTATTGTTCCAAGCATTCATATTTTTCCACTGATTTCATTCTGGTACTATTCTGGAAATTCACATGTCATTGATGGGTCTAGCTTTTAACTCTTGTTAATTGCTAAAATCTGTTTCTTGATTACAGTTGCTTTGTTAAACATGACCTTGTTTATTGGTTAACCTTGTTGTGGCAGAATTTATAAGGCATCCATGCACTTGTTCATTCATTCATGATTCATATATCCATTGGATGCTTATTTGTCTTTGATAGAGTTCAAGTTTTATTGTACTCATCTTTAAATCCATGCCATTCTTTGCCAACTCGTCTTGTGTTGGGTTCATAGTGTAACCCCACAATTGTTCTTTTGTGGCTTTGGCAGGATTTATTTCTATTCCTTGTGCTTCCCCATATCACCCCAGCCTCTAATAGTTTATTTCATGGTAATCCTGTTAAGTAGTTAGTGTTCTGCTTCTATGATTAGTTGTGATATGATATCAGAGTGGCGCAGCGGAAGCGTAGTAGGGCATGTTCTGTTCATAAAGAGTTGGTGAGACATTTGTTTTGTTTTGGATTGTGTGAAGCTATTCACCAATCTAAATGATCCCCAATTTGAGTTTTGGGGATAAAACTCCTTTTTAGGTGGGGTGGATGTGATACCCCAAAAATTTCTAGAATAAATAAGTGGGAGTCAGGGACTAACTTGTGAGAAAATATTGTTTGGGCCTAATAGCCAAAATTTCCAAACTTGAGGGACTTAAAAGAGGGAAATTTTGGATAAGGATCAGCTATTTCTTTTCTCCTTTTCCTCTTTTTCTCCAGCCCGATTCTGCTCT